CCTAAACCCTAAACCCGAGGATCCTTCGGCCAACCAGCGGTCCTTGGATGCCGAGCTGAACAACGGCCGGCTCGTGCCCTGGCTACATGGTTTTGGGCTCGGGGGGTTTAGGGTTTACGGTTTAGGGTTCAGGGTTTTGGCTTAGGGTTTGGGGGCGGGGGGGGTTAGTTGGGGCTTAAGGGTCATGTAAAGGTTCATACCTATATTCTATAGGGGCAGAGGTTGGAGGGTTGAGCGGGCTTGGGGTTAAAAGCATTACGGGTTTAAGAAACATTGGGTTCAGGGTTGGGTTTGGGGGCGTTTTGAAGCAGTTGATGCAGGGGTTTAAGCTTCGCGCATCAGTGATGGAGGCTTATGGTTGAGAGTTGCAGAGCTCTTCTTTTGATGTTCCGTTGTGCCTAGTTCGAGCCTTCAGGAAGGATGCCGCCGTTTCTTTGAGGGGCTTGTTGGGTTTAGAATCCACTTCCGGGTCATGCCGAACCAACCAAGACCATTCCGCAGGAGTTGGTGTCATTCCGAGTTAGGAGGGCGTTTGTGTTCGTGTCGAGGCATTTGCCGTTGTGGACTCGGGGTTTTGGATCTGGGTGCTTTGACGCCCTACCTTCGGGCACGGGCTTGACGTGGTTTCCTCAGTCAGATCCTGCCCTCAACACCTCCGTGCGTAAGCCATCAGCCTCAACGACAGGCAGCTTCCAAACGCCGCAGCTTCCAAACGCCGAAACCTGAAACCCTCCACCATCCCAGGCGATGATGGCCATCACCGGCATGGTGGCCCAGAGACTTGGCTTTGAGCAAGCGCCGGGTTTGCAAGATTTGAGTTTTGAACTCTTTTCTTTTCATCTGCTTCTCTCCAGAATTGTCATGGGTTCGATTGCTACGATGATGATGGTTATTATACAGTTGTTAATCATCATAACTATCATTATTCGCAGTGATATTATTGCTATCAGGATCATGACAGTATCATCATTAACTATGGTCGCCACCCGTTTTTCGTGAGGGCGCCCGAACTTGTGTGTCAGAGCTCGTGCGGACATCCCTTTCATCGACTGTTGACCTCTTTAGAGGGTTAAGTTTGGGGTTTCGGTTTTAGGCCTTAGGGCCAATGGAAAGAAAGGAGCTCCGACTGCGAAGATTCTGTCATCATGAGTCTGTTTCTTATGGTTGTTTATCGTCGTGTTGTTCTACTTTTTGGTCACTGCTGCGACTGCAAAGTTGTTTCAGTAATCATCCATACGATCATTGTGCGTGTGTGTGTGTGTCTGTGTTATTGTCAGCGTAGCAGTAACTGTTTTACCACTAGTTGCCTTAGTTGCTATTATCAATATCACTCCTCTTCTTCCTCTTCTTAATCTTATGCTGATTATAGTGTATACTATACAGTACCTATGACGACGTAACGAGGTCATTGGATTTATTCCTGAACCCTGAGCCCTGCCTTCGCGAGGCGATATGGACTTTGCGGGTTCGAAGCGGATCCCTCACGGCTTAGAATGCAGGTTAAACGGTTTAGGGCTTACGACTGATAGTTCAGGACGAGGGTTTAGCGACTAGCCTTGCTCATGGATCGCTTTCAGGAATGCCTTCTTTGGCACCACCGGCTCTTCCATGTGGATTCCGTAGAGAGGCCGGGGAACGCACCTTCAGTTCAGGGTCCTCGCACCCTACAGCACTGTGACTCCCACAGGTCCAAGCCCCGAGCATAAAACCCGAAGAAACACCCTAATGTAGGGGCCTTAATAATTACCTATACTATGATGGGGTTCCTTATTATCGTCATGGTATAACTGGCCCCAAAACGCCATTCTAATTATTAAGGCCCCTATATTAAACCATAAAGCTGCAAGCTTGAAGTCCTTAGTCATGGAACTGCAGTCCGATTCGACGAATCCGCATTCCGGTACTTGTAGCTTCGCAAATGATGGCACCTTCACTCCAGTCTTTACCTAACGCAACCCTAAACCCTAAATCCTAAACCCTAAACCCCACCCCTGAACCCTAAACCCTAGCAACCCTAGACCAGTACACTCTGATTCACTGTGTTGGGTTCTTGAAGGCTTTGTCTGGGCCACACGTCCTCCTGAGGTTACAAGCACCACACGCACCCCGGTTGAATCCGAAGCCGTTCTTCAACTCGGGAAATCCGGCCGTGGTTTCTGTGCCAAGTTTACGTACTTGCATTGTGTCCGGATGTTTTGTAGGCGGCCGCATTCGCAAAACTCGGCTAGTTATTGGGACGCGGTCCGGCACGGAGTGCAGCGTCCCATGTGGCCGTGTGTAGTAGTGGGCCTGCTGCTAAAATCTAATCCGGGGTATGGTACCCTCCCACCCTATAAGACGTTTAGCTGGACAAGCAAGTAAGCCACGAAAACACCCAGCAGCTTGACATGCGTGGCTTGGGTGAAGTGATCCGAAAATCCTAAACCCAAAAGATCCCAAAAGGGCTCCCACCAGGCATCCGTGGATGGCCAAGGGCAAGGCGGCGCCCCATCGAGTGGAACGCTTTTTCTGTACAGCCGAGCTGCCAGTGTGCGCTGTAACGCTCAGGCGATGGCAGGATAGAAAAGGAAGGTCCATTTGATCGCCCCTCCCCGCCCGTGCTGGCAAGCCTCTTCACGATTGATACTTCTTGCGGTTTCAGTGGTGACGGTGATTCGCAACGATAGCAGTGGCGGCAGCAGCCCCAGCAGCAGCTGCTCACAGGATGGAGGGGCGGTGTGCAGGGGCCACTGAATCCTGCAGGGCCCCTAAGCACTTAACTCCCAAGCCCTCTCTTATAGAAAACCCGATGCGTTCCTCCACGGCAGCCTCGGCTCAAGAGGAGCCAGGAGGTCAGGAGGTGGAGCCCGAAGAAAAGGACCTTCCGAGACACCATGGCGGAC